CAAATACATCCAGTACTTCTCTAACGGCTATAAAACATTTAAACATGTACATGTACTGTAACTTTCTCATATTTTTTTATGAGCAGCAATATGAATTTTCACAGGAGCAATCATATTTGCCAATAATGAGAATACTGGTATAAGCCATGCATATTAATACTACTATAAATTGTGCAAAAATTTTTTAAAAAAATTTAGTACAGTAATTAGCATTTTTCTAGTTAGTCTGCACTAAGGGACGGATAGTGACGTGCTGTGGCTGTCGTTGACCGTTAATTGGCTGTGCTCTATATGCTGTAGCATGTTCTTCTGTTGCTATCCGTAATCCAACTTTAGCCTTGCCGTCACGAAGAAAGAACCACAGCTGCAGCAGCAAATCCCATGACAATGCGCAGCCCATTGGAGTCTGTAGCGTTGAAGCGATACAGTGACAGTTGCTATAAAAGTCTGTCATGAACCGGGAAATGGCTGATCAGAGTAGACAACACTTCTTTTATCTTTTACGTTAGAAGGACCTTTAAACTACAATCCCGGGTGGAAGAACTTGAGCTGTTACTCGTATCGATCGCAGCGAAAGCATGGAAAATTCCAGCCAACGTCGTCCACCAACTGGGTGAAAGTTGGCAATTCATGACCAAGAAGAACGAAGATCTGAGCAATACGTGAGGGACCCTGTCAAGAAATGGAATGCAATTAGTACCCTTGGCGCCGCACACTCGGTCATGCCCTACAAATTCACTAGCTAGCATTAACTTTTTCATCCTGAATATCATTCTTCATAATAACTGCTTTTTACGCCAAAGAAGCGATTCTGTTTTAAACCTTGAAAATCTGTGTATGCCTAAGTACCATAATGCGATTTTAATAGACGATTGACCTCTATTGCAACCTCATATTTATATTACATGAACAGTATTACATACTGATCTTAACAAGGCTGAAGTGATTACCTCGAAACATTCCGAAATGGCTGCTACGTCCGACGGATCACATTTTAGCGGTAACTGCAGAGCTGAAAAAGCGTCATTAAATACCAGTTTATGTGAAAACATGCGCACACCGATGCTGTCGGAGAAGAAAACAAGGGAATGGCCAGAGAAAAGGTAGAGCGATGTGATGACTGACCGAAAACTTGACAAATGATTGAAAAGGCCGTTGACTCGAACAGTGAACTCCTGTTAAAGGGAACACACTAGAAAGAAGAAGCAAAAGAAGGCACCCTTAGGGCTTCTAGCTCTTCCAATGAACTTCCTTTTACGATATACAGATAGGCACTTGACATAATAGAATGATTCAGGTGTAACGATCAGACAGATTTCAATATTACACATGCGGATAAGCGGTTTTGGTTGAGGACCAACGTTTTTGTTGACATCACTCGCCCTTATCAATAGCAAACACCTCCCTTCCGCAATACCTCATCTTACTTTCGAACACCTACCTCATTCGTATTTTAAGAAAGTTCTTGTCAGTAATCCTGCGTAGTCAGAGATTCCGCTCCATTAAGTAGATTTTATAGTTCCAAGCCACGAAGAACATACAAGCAAGAAATGGGATCGATTGAGACTAATAAGTATTCATTTCTGTTGTAAAATTCATAAATCATAATTTCACCAGGCTACAGTCTGGTTTAGATTTCCATGCCATAGCAAGTGAATATTTACGTACATGACATCAACGTCAGTCAAAAAAGACCAGCTTTACTCTGAAGAAGACAGGGAGATAGTGGATGAAAAGTCGGCAGCAGTCTGCCGCCTAATGGGATGTGTGTTTTGCATTGATTAAGGTTAGATCCTTTTATGCTTTATTTCAGCAGATTAGTAGTCATATTAAAACTGGGTGAGGAATGCATAATCGATTACAGTGCGATTTATCAGATATTTCGTACATTTTTCGGCGAGCGCCTTATTGCTGCATCCGTAGCCCGTAACTGCTTTGACCAGGGTGGCAACGGCGTCGGTGCCGCAGCGGTCCGACAGGTCGTTCTCCACGCAGTTGTAGAAGTCGAAGATCGTGTCGCAGGTGTCCTTGGTTTTCGAACGCAAGATCGATTGGCATTTGGTATTGTTCTGCACGACGAAATAGATGCAATTTTTGACGACGAACTCTTTCGGTTGCTTGGCGCAGACGAACCTCAGGTTCTTGTTGGCGAAGTCCACCAAAGGATCGGTATCACAGTCCTGAAGGTCGAACGAACAGCCGGACTTCGCACGCTCCAACGCTTTGCACAATGGTCGAAGGTCAGACGGTGACATAAACAGCAACGGGAAGACGCTGCTCTCCGAGTTCGGCCGTATTCGGCTCACTTCCTGGAACGCGTTCTTGAACGGCTCCAGGCATGCCTGCAAATCAGCGTTGTCCGACTGGCTGATCGGACAGTGACCGTAACAACCTAAACAAAACATGGTTAAAAAATAATTGTGACAGATTATTCAGTAATATCAACACTGGGGCGTTCCGACCATGTCAATATCACAATACAATTGCCAGCCAACGGAACAACTGATGTTCACCTAAAATTGTTGCTTGAACGCTCGGAACTCGAAATACACCCTTACGAATCAACGCGTTGTCACCACAACTGCGAGTCAAGTCATTTGCTTTAAGATAACTATCAGGTCCATTGCAAAATCTTCGAGACGCTTACCCAAAAGTGGATCGAAATAGGCTGCTGATGACGATGACCTAACAGAGAAGTCGAACTCTAATACCTGTAGTGTTATATCGCTTGCTCTATGTTGCATCAACACGCCACTATTTTCATCGAAGCACTGTGACACAGAGGCGACGAGGCCGGCTTTGAATTCAGAGAAGTAAAGATGTTTGTCTTAACCGTGAATTGCCTTGAGCACGTAAGTTATTTGACGCTACCTCGACACTACCAGCCGAGAAACGGTTGGAAAGTTGGGGACTTGCGAATAACTGAGACAGCATGGTATTCCGGTGTGGCCATACCAAAACGAGTGAGCGGTACGACCATGTTGTCTGGTGCGAAGGTTTAGTAGGGCTCAATTTTCACTGACCAACCTGACAGACACTTATTCAATGTGATAATCAGAAGGCATAACCTCTGTTGTTGTTTCTGCATGGTTGATTAAAACAGCGAGTAACGAAAGTGCAAAAAAATATTAGCTAGTTGTAACGCAAGCTCACTAACAGGGACACTTCTATCAATTACTACGAAACATAATCATAGGTTAATGTTCATGGTAGCAGGCAATTTATTAATGAGTCGCTTTCTCGTATTATGCTTAGACACAAACATTCAGTTTGGTAACCCAGCCGTTGAGTGTGGAATTTTCAATCAACAGCTCCACGGTCAGCACTAACATGAATTTCAGTACAAAGAATTCTAAACAATTTATTAACATAAAAGACATGAGTACATTAATGTTCAACTTAGACAATGTACGACATAGATATAAATCCATATAACCGGGTACCGATAACTAGAATTAGTAGGTCGACTTTTGCTTGCATATGCCAGAGAACTAGATCAGCCGAAAATGATATCCAGGTCATTCGGTCAGCGTTGCCAGTTCGTATTTACGATGCAGTCGTCCGTGAAGGGCCCTAATAAATCCTGCGTAATAGTAAACATCGGACAACTTCCAAGTACCATAATGGCTCGGAATGAACTTGTTGAAGACTTGAAGATTGTGATGAAAAAGTACATCTGAAGACATCAAAATCCAGCACTGCATAAACGGCGGGATAACCGAGATTTGTGTGTGGCGTTTAAAAATATTAGCTCAGATTGACATTGGGCATTTTCGTTGCGGCGGCAAAGGCGATATTCCCCAATCTGTCATTACCGAAGGCCATATGTTGAACAACAGTTACGCTACATAACGTGGAGGCACCACGTCATTGTCATGCAAGGTCCAAATAATCTGAACTACGTTTCGCAAACCGACTACATCTGGTTTGCATGGTGCACAAGAAGCGAGATGGCCGTTTGGCTGTGGCGTTCTCTACTGTACGATGGCACCGACATACAAGGTAAAATCTGAGTTTCTTTTACGACGACTTGTTTCTCCAGCATGGCCTATTTGAAAAGCGACGTAACTTTACACAAGCAACTCGATCAGTTGCCGATGACCGACCGACGATAAAGCTACTGTGAAGACGACGAAATTGGGCCGAGAGGGCGGCGTGTTTGTCGACGTGGCGTAAAACGGGTTGAAAAATGAGGTGCACGGGTTTCGGATCACAAAAGCCGGTCTGTCAGTCAGTCAACGACTGG